TTTTGGGGGGGGGGGGGGGGGGGGGAAGTGGTGACATCACAGCTGGTATTTTGCATTTCAAATGGATTCTAGTAAAATATAACTGATGGGAAAGTTCTGTGCAAAAAAAGTTTAAACTCTTAAACCACAAATGAACATTACAATCATATTGTATCAACATAAACTAAAAACCACCACTGCAATAGTCCACTGATATGAATGAATTACTGAAATTTATAATCATTCTTTTTATATCTGGGAGGGGAGCTTGTTATAAGCGTTTCACTGTTTACATCTAAGATTTTGGGGCTGGTTTTGGGAAGGTTTTGTTCTGAGGATGTTTCTCTCTTGTTAATTTATGGTAAGAGCTGAGCATTTTTACCATTATGGATGTTTTGGGTCCATCTTTTTCATGTCACGAAATTTCTTGATAAAAATAATCACATTACAAAGCAAGACAAGGATAGCACCACCAATACTCATGTTGTTTGGAACAACATCCAGAGCTACCAGCTGGAGAATAAATGAAAAGGCAATTCCTATCGTGCTTACCAACGCAACAACTGATGCCTTTTCCATGGCTAAAGCCTTCGATCTAACCACTAACGCAAAGTAACCCAGAACTCCGATTGCAAGCATGTAAATTGAGTCATAAGTTCCACAATCGGGGTATTTAAAACCAGAGATTAATGAACCTACAAAGCTGATGATTGATCCAAGGACAGCAAAGTAAAACACCACTACTCTTGGGCCAACTTCCTGGGACATCTTGCGTGTTAGGACAGTTGATGCTGCTGAACCAATTGCAGCTCCAACTGCAAGGAGAGTAGGCACCCACACCTGTTTAGATCCAGAGTTTTTTCCAAGAGAGCCAAACAAGAACGTTGGCCTTCCAATTAACACCACCCCTCCTATACTTAGTATCATTGCTAGCACATCAAACTTGCTCACTGACTCTTTGAGAAAGATACGTCCAAGTATGGCTGTAAACACCGGAGAAGTGTAAAATATCACCCTAGCGTCGGCTAAAGGCATGTGTTTTACAGCATAATTCATTAAATTCATCGCCGTCGTGCCGGAGATGCCACGAAGCAATAAAAATCTGCTCTGCTTCCACGGATAAATAAATTTATCTTTGAAGAATATCATTGCTGGCAGTGAGAAAACCATTTGAAATGTTAGTCGCATGAATGTCACCTCAATGCTTGGAACGCTCTCAGCCAGTTTAACCATCAGTGAGCCCACAGACAAGATCAGCGCCGCAATGATTCCCAAAATGATGCCTATGAAAGCCAACTTCTTTTTCCTCGGTGCTTTAATCTTTATGTTTACCACTTCCGCGTTTCCATTTCTCGCAATACGATTGTCGCGAAGCTCTATAGCAAGATCATTTCTCGCACTTGTACTGTCTGAATCAAACTGGTTTGCCTCTATCGTTAGTTCAGTTGTAACGTTCTCTGTAGAGCCATCTTCCTGAACTTCAAGGAAATCTTCTCTCACAAGGAAGCTTTCGTCGTTTTCCAACAGGCGTTCGCTCTGGACCCTCCTCCGAAGTCTGGCGATGAATGGAGAGAAAATTTTCGCCGCCATGTGTTTGAGATATTTTGACTTCTCTAGAAAATGAGAAAAGTTTCTGTTAATTTATCACATGATTCAAGCTACAGATAATTGAAAGTATTGGTAATGCTTCGCAATTATTGCATGAAAGCTTATGTAACTCTGACTGTGCATTTTTTGTCATCCGGGCAGTCACGCAATGAAATCCCGACATTTTCTCTCCAGTCCCTATTTGACTCCGTCAGATTCCGCCCAAAGAATTTTTGATGGGAAATGCACCTTGCATACGACCGATGCGTATGCAACGACGGGCGCAGCTACCGTATACAAGGCAGCTGTAGAAAACGCAAATAAGGTACTTTTAAACGAAGAAACAGATCCCCCCCAAAAAATGAAAAAAATCTACCCACCAGATAGGCCTAGACAGATTCTGCTCAAAAAAATGTTAAAAAGTTGCTCAAAAATATCCCCAAAAGTTGCTGAAAATCGCAAAAGTTGCGTACAAAATTTTTATAGTTGCTTGCTGAAATCAAAGAGCAGCAAGCCAGCTCTGTTTCGGTACAGCAACTAAANGATCATTTCTCGCACTTGTACTGTCTGAATCAAACTGGTTTGCCTCTATCGTTAGTTCAGTCGTAACGTTCTCTGTAGAGCCATCGTCGTGAACTTCAAGGAAATCTTCTTCTCTCAGAAGGAAGCTTTCGTCGTTTTCCAACAGGCGTTCGTTCTGGACCCTCCTCCGAAGTCTGGCGATGAATGGAGAGAAAATTTTCGCCGCCATGTGTTGGAGATATTTTGCCTTCTCTCGAAAATGAGAAAAGTTTCGGTTAATTTATCACATGATTCAAACTACAAATAATTGAAAGTATTGGTAATGCTTCGCAATTATTGCATGAAAGCTCATGTAACGTTGACTGTGCACTTTTTGTCATCCGGGCAGTCACGCAATGAAATCCCGACGTTTTCTCCCCAGTCCCTATTTGACTCCGTCAGATTCCGCCCAAAGGATTTTTGATGGGAAATGCACCTTGCATACGACCGATGCGTATGCAACGACGGGAGCAGCCACCGTATACGAGGCAGCTGTAGAAAACGCAAATAAGGTACTTTTAAACGAAGAAACAGATCCCCCCCAAAAAAATGAAAAAAAATGTGCCCACCAGATAGGCCTAGACAGATTCTGCTCAAAAAATGTTAAAACGTTGCTCAAAAATATCCCCAAAAGTTGCTGAAAATCGCAAAAGTTGCGTACAAAATTTTTATAGTTGCTTGCTGAAATCAAAGAGCAGCAAGCCAGCTCTGTTTCGGTACAGCAACTAAACGAGTGGTTTCCTTGATTGATTCGGTAATAAACAGGGGTTTTGCTCATTGACTTTTGCATCCGACTTACCTTGTATTTGCCTTTGTTCTCGACTACTTTACGCTTTCGGGAGATGGAAGCTCTGGACCATTACCAATTGCAGCCTGGATTGGATCTCTTTGATGTTGCTCNTCTGTTAATTCATCACATGATTCAAGCTACAAATAATTGAATTCGTATTGGTAATGCTTCGCAATTATTGTATGAAAGCTTATGTAACGTTGACTGCGCATTTTTTGTCATCCGGGCAGTCACGCAATGCAATCCCGACGTTTTCTCCCTAGTCCCCTTTGACTCCGTCAGATTCCGCCCAAAGAATTTTTGATAGGAAATAAACCTTACATACGACCGAGCGTATGCAACGACGGGCGCAGCCACCGTATACAAGGCAGCTGTAGAAAACGCAAATAAAATATTTTTAAACGAAGAAACAGATCCACCAGACAGGCCTAGACAGATTCTGCTCAAAAAATGTTAAAAAGTTGCTCAAAAATATCCCCAATAGTTGTTTCAAAATTTTTATAGTTGCTTGCTGAAATCAAAGGGCAGCAAGCCGGCTCTGTTTCTGTACAGCAACAAAACGAGTGGTTTCCTCGATTGATTTGGTCATAAACAGGGGCTTTGCTCATGGACTTTTGCACCCGACTTGACTTGTATTTGCCTTTTTTCTCGACTACTTCACGCTTTCGGCTTCGAAAGCTCTGCACCATTTTCAATTGCAACCTAGATTGGGTCTCTTTGATGTTGTTCTTCATCGGATTCTTCATCGTCAGAGGAAAGCGCCCTGCCGTCCGCCATTTTGAGCTAGTTATACCATATTTAGAATATTAACACAGGATCTCCATTCTGAAAATGGAGTCACATCCGGCATACTCATATTTTGGAATCTATAATAATAACAATAATAATAATAATAATAATAATAATAATAATAATAATAATAATAATAATAATAATAGTAATTTACCCATTTATATAGCGCATATTTACGTATTCTGATCAATAGCGCTTTACAATCACCATAAAAATGAAATAAAATTATAAATTATAAAAATACTTCTTAAAAAAATAAGTCTTAAGTCGAGATTTAAAACTGTCATGTGATGTTGCTGAATCTATCAACATAAGATACCGATCGAAACGCAAGAGAGTTTCTAGCGAAATTCTTGTGAATTTTCAAAGAAAACGTGTTAAAATATCAATTACTTATGAATGTGATTTCGAAATAGTGAAAATATGCCAAAAATATGCTAGCTTTTAGAAAAGATACAGTAAAGTTGCTCACTCTCCGAAAAGTTGCTCAAAAGTTGCCGAACAATATCTGTTTAGGCCTACCAGCAGAAGTTTGAAATCCCCGGAGAATTCCGCTCTTTCGGATTGCGAGCTCATCGTTCAGCTGTAAAATGGCAAGGAGCCGTGAAATGATACACCATATTACTGGCACCGAGGGAGAAAGTTAGCTTTGTTTCCCCGAGAATCGAGGTTCGAAGGAAACAAAACTAACTGTTTTCAAAGCCAGATCAGTGTTTTGTTATATAGCTGGAGTTAAGTACAAAGTAATAAGGCAAAAAGAAGTTAACGCAACGTCTGGTTAGTGGGAGAGCGGGCAACAATTTATTGCTTGTTGTATCGCCCTGCGGGCGACGTTTAGATTTAACCTTGTCACGTGACCCAATAAGTAGCGCGCTTAAGATTCAACTAAACTCCAGTTATACTACTGGACGTTTAAGGTTGGAGGGGGTAAGGCGAGTCAATTTTTGGACGTCAGTGCGGGGCATTTTTAACCAAAAGTAAAAAGACACTAAAATTACTTGGAATTTGACAATGGATGCTCAGCAAATAATAAGAGTATTTTGAACAAGATCGTTTTATTGTGCCCTCATCAGAATATCACTGATACCACACTTAGCCATATTTTTTAATACTTTGCTTGGCAAATGAGCTCCCTAGTTTCCTAAATTC